TGGTGCTTAGTTGCTGGCTGGGGCTAAACCACGACAAGCTCCTACCAAAGCAACTGTTTCAGCCTTATGTGCTTGTCCCATGTTTTAAGGACCAGGACTTGAAAAGGGCTGAATGCTGACCTTGAGAAAACTGTCTTATAGTAATAGCACCATGCAAGAGATCACATCCACCTTGTCTAATGCAAGCTGATGGATTCAGAGGCTGACAGCTGCAATTAATCCATAGGATATATGTACTGCGGGAAGCAGCATGGAGAGTAGTGCCCTGCCTTCCTCTGTCTCTCAGACATGATGTCCTGGTTTCGGCTGGGATAGAGTTAATTTTCTTCCTAGCAGCAAGCATAGTGCTGTGTTTTGGATTTAGTAGAAGAATGTTGATAACACACTGATGTTTTTAGTTGTTGCTAAGTACTGCTTATGCTAGTCAAGGACTTTTCAGCTTCCCATGCTCTGCCAGGTACACAAGAAACTGGGAGGGGGCGCAGCCAGAATAGTTGATCCAAAGTGACCAAAAGGCTATTCCATACCATATGACATCATGCTCGGTATATAAACTGGGGAGCAGCAATTGCTGCTCGGGAACTGTCTGGGTATCGGTCGGCGGGTGGTGAGCAATTGCACTGTGCATCATTTGCTTTGTATATTATTATTATTATCATCATTATTACATTGTTATTATCATTACTATTTTACTTTATTTCAATTATTAAACTGTTCTTATCTCAACCCAGGAGTGTTTCTCACTCTTACTCCTCCAATTCTCTCCCCTATCCCATCGGGGTAGGGGGAGTGAGCGAGTGGCTGCGTGGTGCTTAGTTGCTGGCTGGGGCTAAACCACGACACATGAGTGTACATTGAACATCAGAGAACATCAGAGACGCCACTAGTGAACGACAACCTGATTAATACTCCTAGCCCAAAAAGAATTTGGTCTCTATATTATGCCCTCCAGCACTACAGTCTTGGGTGTGGAAATCCATGCACAGCTTGACTGAGCCCAGCAGCTCATGACAGAGACCACCCAACAGCTGGCTGCCCTTAGGGGAGTTCAAGCTGAGTGCCTACAACCATCAACCTCAACCTCATCAGTATGGTCCCAGCAAAGAGTATTTCAAAGAGCAGAGCCACTGTCTACTTCCACTTAAGTGGAAGCACATAATCCCGAAAGCCCATCCTGCCCTGCTGACCACCCCTCTTTCTTATGTACTTCTATCAGAAATTGAGGACAGACAATTCTTGACATCCACCTATGTTTAATAAAAGTCAGTGGTGTCAAAGCACCGGCTGGTTTATGTTATGTAGCACAACGTCTACCTGTGCAGTCAGATCAGTCAGATGGCTGAAAGATTGCTCCACTGATATATTCATCTGATAAGTCAGTCTTAATTTGATCACATTACACACATCCACAGATGTCTATAAATTAACCTAATGTTTCTCCCCAGTGAAATGTGTCTGCATAAGCAAACATCCCTCTGCCTTTATCACTTGACCCCTCAGCCATTCTCCTCTGGTGTTACACCCTGGATAATGAGGTCTTTTGCAAAAGGAATTGTTGTGTTCCAGTTTCTAGCTTAGTATCACCTATATGACAGCCCCAGGAAAACAGCATTACTGATATAGCACTATGTTTTGGAAAGAATAAAAAACTAAAAAGAAAAAAAAAGGCCTGTGTAAAAGATGGTGAAGTGGCATCTTTCTTCTTACCTGGTCTTGAAACATTGATCCACCAAAGGCCCAGACAGCAGCAAAGACAAAGTAAAGTTCATAAAGCTCCTTGGGACAATCGGGAGGTGTGTTCTCCTCCGTCAGGAGGCATTCAAGGAGGTAGCACAACATCTGAACCATACTCTGCTCAGGAATGGGAATAATCTTCTTAAACCTACGGGATGGAAATTGAAAACATGGGAAATATAACTGGGTCCAGCAACACAGTCGCTCACAATCCAGAAATGCAAGCCTAGAAATGCTTTTTCAGAATATTAGCATTTTACTTGTCATCAGTGTGTGTCTTATTACCGGGTACAGCAATAAAGAGAACACCCATTCTCTCCCTCTGACCTGCTGGCACTGGCACATATACAAGTAATAACAGCAATCAAAGTTTCAAGCATTTTAAAACTTTGATCCTCTTGAAAGAAGTAAAATGGAAGACTTGCTAAAGGCAATGATTTTCTGTGAACATGATGACTTCAAAAGTGGTCAAATAGAGGAGTAATAAAATAAACCCTTTCATCTTGCCATTTTACGTTCATTTAAGCTACTCTTACAGCATTCCAAACTAACATTGTAGCAGCACTGAAGTCCTCTGTAAAGTAATTATAGATACTTGAAAGGTTGGTTCTACAATTTCTGAATTAAGCAAGCTACCAAAATACTCAGTTCAGGAACACCTGCAGTTAATCCCATGGATTTCACTGTCTGACACATTGCTCAGCAAATAGAGCGGGAAATGTCCGATGGACTCTGCTGCCAATGGCTATAACCAGCTTGCTCACCCAGGGAGCAGCTCCCTAGTAAGATGCCTAACTCCTACTTCCAAAGACCACTGCTTTCACTTAAGCTTCCACTTCTGACACATCCCCACTGTGGTTGACAACTCCCATGCTCAACTGGACATTGATTTTTTAATTTTTTTTATTTTTTTTTAATGAAGGTGCAACTATGGGAAGCAAGCAGATGATGGGAAAAGCTCCCTTACTCAAGTTTGTTGGGACAGTACTTTGGCCAGTCCTCACCACAGTATGAGTAAGAGAGCTGTCTCCCATGATGATAAGCAAGAACCACACGACTTCTCTGTGGGCACCGCTTTGAAGCTTACTCAGGCCAAGGAGCACCAGGGCCCTTCCAAATATCGAAGTTCTTCATGTTCATTGGATGGGTGTCCAACCATGAAACATGCCCAGGTTGGATGCCCACACAGACTGGCTTAATTTTGTTCAAATGCATCAGGAAAGAAATTCAAGAGACAACTGCCTGTAGAGCAATCCCACCCTCTGCCACAAACACAAACTTCCTTCTCATCACCAAGGGGCAGAAAAAGAAATGGGGAAAGGATAAAAGAGGATCTTCTCTCTCCACCTTTCACACTGCATACTGAAAACATTCCTTCAGCAGTGGTCTGAAATCTGCTCTACTGAAAAATAACTTGTGGAGTGAACCACTTGCGTCTAGCCTGACATATCAGGGGACTGAAAAGACTTTCTTTTTAGGATCTCCTGGATTTACTTTCCAAGAGATACAGAACTGGTACAAGAAGTACAGGAACAATCAAATCAAAATGTGATAGAAACCAGATGAAAACTAGATCTGACCAACAAAGGATGGACAGGAGTGTCAGCTTCCCCACCTCACCCTGTTTTTTCTCTGAGCTTAAGCCAATGATGTTCAGGGCTCTCAGGGGCAAGGAGGAAACCCGCCACCTGTGCCACATGCAGCACAACCCCAGCACAGCATAGCTGGTCTGGAAAGTGGTGAGTGTCCCCCAGCCCTTGCCAGTGGAGATACAATCACTCTTCAGATGGTACCTTGTTCTGAGGGTGTCCAGGCAAATCGGCAGGTACTTATCAAACAAAATGGTCAGGTTGGCTCTTTCAGACTGGATCACTCGCCTGTCAATCCAGCTACTCACAGGGGGATTCCAGCCCAGATCCGATGGGTTGATGTACAGGATCCCTTTAGGCCCAGGGTAAGAGAGAACATATAGTAAGGACACAGCAGAGACTATTCCTTTCCACCAGCAGAAAGTCTCAGCTACTTTTATGCAACTAAAACCCTCTCAAATATGCCTGGGTGCTCCATTACCTACGCCTCCTCCTGCCCCACTGAGGAGTAGAAACATTAACAGTCAAGAGACTTAACTCAGGAAACCAGGACACCTTTCATGACTCTGCTCCAAATTCAAAATATGGTCTTGCCTGAATCATGTTACTGCTCTGGGCCCCATTTCCCCATGTGTAAAACTAGGGGACACCTTCATTCCCTTCTTCCATACTTCATGCACTTCTCCCAAAGATCAGGAACTCTTTGGGATAGAGACTCTCCTTCTCCTCATCAAACCCATACAGGGCTTTGCACAATAGGAGCACTATCTCAGCAATGCTGAAGCCATGATCACCCCTCAACAGCCACAGAGCTCTGGGTAAATCTCCAAGATGATAACAGTTCCCCATATGGATTTGGGGTCAGGATTCTCAGTTTGTCAATGTGCTTCAGGAACCTACCCTGTCCACCAAAGGCAGCTGTGATCCCAGGTTGGGAACTTTAAAGAAAGGCCAAGTTGGCCAACAAAAGACTGGTTAATGGCACTAAATCCTACTTGGTCCATGCAAAATCCCAGTGTGAAGCTCAGGCCAGGACTCACCTGCTCTAGACACAGTCGCTGGGGTGGCTGTGCGCAGGTGGCTGATCTCAAAGACCAGCCGCATCGTTGGGTTCAGAGGGATTCTCTCATTGCTGGCCAGGGTCAGCACCTGCATGTCAGAGACAGACAGACAGACTAATTACTCCCCCAGGAATAGGAATTAAAAGCATCCAGCACTTTGCACTAAAAAGCTTGGTTGCTGTCAGCCCAGTTCCTTGAGGCAAAGCAGCTGATTTCTAACTATCCTTCTCTCTTCCATGACCCAGAATCAACAGCACTCCCTTAGGGTGGAGGGAAAAAAGGTGTAGGATTATGACCGCACTTTATTTTTAAAGGTCCTGAAGTTATGATCAGGACATTTGTGATTACTCATGAGCCCGACTCTCCAGGAAAGGGAAATTCCAGTGAAAACATGCTTTGAGCTATTTCCCTCATGCACCATTTTCTTTCTGCAATATTGTTTGGTATATCTGAAGAAACAAAATTGCATTATTCTAGGAGTTGTTATTTCAGCATCTGCATTACTCCTAGACTGAACCACACCACACAGTCAAGGAATACCTGCTTCTTTAACTTATATTCTTTACCTTATTATCATCCATCACAGTATTAAGAGATTCAATCCACATCGGATCAATATCTCCATCTAGTACCATCCATTTGGGACCATCATGTGTGATGTTGGCCAGCTCTCGCATGATTGACGAAAACAGTCCTGGCAGGGTGACAGGAATGTGTTGATGAACACGCAAGTTGCCACCTGCTCTAGCAACTTAATAAAAATTATCCTAACTAATGCTTTTCTCTTACACATTCAAAACTCTATGCATCTGTACATAAATATTACTATATCATGATATGGGTCTAGTCTGCTTTGAGGAAAAAAAACATTACCACTTACCACCACTGAAAATGACTGCAGACCTACACACAGGCTTCATTCCCAATGAGAATCATAAGGGATAAGAAAAATGAAGAGCAGATACTCAGAAGCAAAAGAAGGCATGAGTTACACAATGCAGAGAAAACCATCTGCATATACCTTGGAAATTCTTATAAATGTTTTTTTGTGGCTCTAAGTATATCAGGGAAATCAAGATGCATTAAACACTGGGTCATGGCTTTAGTGAGATTGAGGGGAGAACAAGCACAGAATGACATTGAATGACAGAATAAAATGTCAGTAAATCAAGGAGACAGAGAGGATACAGTGTCTCAAGGGGAGTAAATAATGAATGTTAAGAAGAGCAAGAAGGCTGGGAATAGAGCAGCAGTACTGCAGAGCATATGAAAACTCCACAAAACTATCACTCTCCTCTACATGTGAAAATAGCTAGGGAGACGCTGGTCTTCATGAAAAAACATCAGGCAAACATTAAAAAAAAGCCTCTCTTCTGGTGAATTGTGACCATCCCACTTTTTTTTTTTTCTCCAGGGCAAGCTATTTCTTTGTGATCCAGGTCAGGAACAGCTAGTGGCATTATATGACTGAAGACAAAGCCTTGTGCACAACAAATGCAGAACAGCTCACCTGAAACAGGTATTCAATTCCAAGATCAGGACAAAAAAAAAAAACACTTCACTCGCTCTGCTTTGACTCAGTTCCTCACATGTTGGACACATGTCTTGGAAATCGCTCCAACATAATTAGTATCAGAAATAGCTACTGTTTCGGAGCATCAATGCTTCCCTCATATACACCATGACAGCAAAGAAGAGAAAAGTGCCCTCTCTCCTAACCTTGTGCGTCCACATCACAGAGTGGTCTTGGGATTTAAAAGAAGAATTTGGCTCTACAGAGAACCCTTGTGGGACCATTTACCACCTAACATGTATAACCTGTTCAATTCCTGATAATGAAAGGAGTGACAGGATGAAAACAAGGCACTGATCCGTAAGGGAACACATCATGTCTTGTTAGGTTGTGGTGAAGATTGCCTTGCTGGTCTTTGACAACAAGAAACAAAATTTTCAGGAATGGTTAATGCAGAAAATATCTGCCTTGAAACCTCAGGGAGGAGTCCTGTAAGCTCCCCTGAAACCTTACAGGCTAGAAACCACTGGACAGCCACCTGTAAAATGTCCTTCCTGCTGTTCAGTGCCACCTGCAGTCCTCGATCTGCAGTCACTACTGCAGCCAATCTGCAGAGTTCAGGCTGTATCCTGCACTTCCCTCGGTCACTTTGATTTAGGGCATTGAGGTGCTGGAGCATGTCCAGAGAAGGGCAATGAAGCTGGTGAAGGGTCTAGAGAACAAGTCTTATGAGGAGCGGCTGAGGGAACTGGGATTGTTTAGCCTGAAGAAGAGGCGGCTGAGGGGAGACCTTATTGCTCTCTACAACTACCTGAAAGGAGGTTGTAGTGAGGTGGGTGTTGGGCTCTTCTCCCATGTAGTTAGCAACAGGACAAAAGGTAATGGCCTCAGGTTGCACCATGGGAGATTTAGATTGGATATTAGGAAAAATTTCTTCACGGAAAGAGCAGTCAAGCATTGGAACAGGTTGCTCAGAGAGGTGGTGGAGTCACCATCCCTGGCGGTGTTCAAAAAATGGGTAGACGTGGCTCTTTGGGACATGGTTTAGTAGGCATGGTGGTGTGGGTTGATGCTTGGACTGATGATCTTAGAGGTCCTTTCGAACCTTAATGACTCCTAGTTTTACTTCATTAGAAAATAGTCCAGCCACCAAGCCAGGAAACAAGAAATTAATTCTTACTCTACCCTTAACTGGTTTAGTGGTGGACTTGGTAGTGGTAGGTTAATGGTTGGACTGGATGATCTTAAAGGTCTTTTCCAAAGTAAACGATTCTATGATTCTATGAACCAAACATTTTTACTCCAGATTTCTGTAATTGTTCAGCAAGTTTTAAATGCTCATCTTATCTTCCTCAGGAGCAATTGGGATCAACAGACTGTCAAATGCTAGTGTACTACAGAGATCAGGCAGCAATAGTAAATAGAAAAATACCACTTTAAGGCTGCTGCGTGTGTGCTACCAGATATGGAAACCTGGGGATGGCACATTTTGTGGGGCCCCAATGCACACCATAGGACAGGAGGGAACTCTCTTCTATCACTGGTCCAGCCAACCCCAAAAAACTGCCTGCCCCATTTAGGAACTGGTAAGTGTTGGTATTAATGGACATAATAGTTATCCTTATGGCAATAGGATAAAGCAGGTTTATGCTATACTTCCCATCTGAAGATCAAAAAGCTAACACATCCTATGTATCCTTTCAACAACAAACTCTCACATGGCTGTGAGCAACAGACAAGCGCCTGGGCTTTCAGGCCTGCATACAAAGAACCAGTCATCCTGCTGCTGCCCAGGAAGTTCATTAAAAATATCCTTCTTTATCTACAGATTCAGGCATGAAAAGACATTTACCATCTTTCCATTCTCTTGTTGCTGGGTTAATGATGCCAAAAAGCTCATCGTTGGTGACTGCCTTGGGGTTGAGGTCTGTCCAGACAGGACGTTGCTTCATTATCTGGTAAGTCTTGTTCAGGGATCTCATCACCTGAGACTTGCCCGTGCCTGCATTACCCACCACGAAGACAGAGTGCCGAACTGTCAGCAGCTCCTCCAGCTGCACCACCTGAGAAAAAACACTCCCAAATTGTAGACAAAGATGCCAAACTGAAGTTCAGATCTACAAAATAGCCCATTGGGCCTCTTCTTTAGAAAGATGTGACCCAGAGACACAAACGGATTTGGCAATGAGTTTGGTCTAGCCACTCCAATTACAATGGATGAAATCCTCAGCCTGCAGACAAACATTCAGCACTATTTACATCTGACAGCCATCAGCCGATGAGGCTCTGCTCTCCTGGGGCCACACTTTCATGAGTCTACAAGAGTTAGACCCTTTAAACTTAGGGGCCGAGCCAGTGCTGGCTTTAGGGGCAGGTGCAACTGCATCAGACCCAGCATAGCTAACTCTGTCCTCCATCAAGGTGTGCCTGCAAGGGGAATATTGTGCAGAGCCTTCTTTGTAGAAGCAAATACGGTTCAGAAAACCCAAATGATTTGATGGTGGTACAGCAGAAGATCACTTGGTCTTACTTTGAGCACAAAGTTGTCCTCAGCCTGCAGCCGGAGGTCCAGCACAGCCTGCCTCACAAATGACTCAAAATTCAGGTCACGCTTCCGAGGCACATCCAGCGCAGGGAAAAGATCCCCAATCAGCCCCATAAACACCGGCACATCATCGGTCACAATCTTGGGGATGTTAAAGTCACGAAGTGAGCGCATCAGAACCTGGTCTTCGGGTCGCCCTGGGTCATCTCGTTTGAGGGAGCCAGCGACAACTAGCACTGACTTGATTGCACGCAAGCCCCAGTCGTAGTGATCCTACATGGGGGGAAAAAAAAAATAAAAAAAGGAGGGTTGAGTTTATGCTTAGACAGTATACCACCATCCAGGGGTAAGAACCAGCAGATCCAAACTGCCAGACAAGTCAGCAATGAAAATACATCCAAATCTGTTATTTGCATTGTGGCCAGAGACCTCCACCAGCCTGAGTTACCCGATTTCCATTTCGGTAGGTGGGATTCCCATCAGGGACAGTATTGGAGAGTCAAATAATTTAGCTGTTTATACCATCACGAGGGCTCAGAGTTGGCAGTAAGACAGCAGTAGGACTTGCACTCTGAAGACATAAGCAATTTGTTTCACCTAAATCATAACGCAGCTAAAGCAAGGCCAGCCAGACCACTGGATCTGCAGGAGCCACCAAGGTGAAAGATTTGTTAGTCCATTATGAAGCCCCAAATACCCAAGTTTCTCCATCCTGCCCATCACAAGATTACCAGGCGTGTTTGGTCCCAGAGGCAGTCCACCAAGCAGGGCATAAGATGAGCATTGCTGAAAAAGAGCCACAAAGAGGCATGAGAGGAACTCTGAAGCCAACAAGCAACTCTTTACATTTCTGCACTGTTAAGAACCTCCAGAGCACAGCTCAACAGCTGACTGCTTTGTGTGGGAGGCCATGGCTTCCACCAAGATCTCCAAGACACAACACAAAGTTTCTGTGACAAGGCATCTCCCACCCAGCCTCATGCTGGCACAGCCAAGATCAGGTTTTCCATCTGGAGTCCTGATTCAACTCTTCTCTGGAACCAGCTTTATCCATGCAAATGATGACAAGGAAAAATCTGATTAATTAGAGCTTTGCACTGAAAGTGATCCTACTTGGTCAACACCTGACACAACAGGGAACTGTTAGGCTGAACTTAGAGAGAGACAGACATCATAAACCCCTTGCAGGCAGGAAAATCAATAGGAACTAGGAGAATGGAAAGCAAAGGGTCACTGGAACAAGAAAACCTCCAAACATGGTGTCATTTGAGCCCATTGAAAAATCTGTCCCATTAATGCAGCCGGTCAAGTGTCTTTGTCCCTACAGATCCTCCAGTAAAGCAGTTTGAAAATTTCATTTCTCTGATGATCACAAGCCTCCTCTCAGCAGCTAGCACAAATGTAGTTGCTAAATAAAAGCTGTGAAGCTTTAGCCACAGAGATGAGTGGCAGAGTGTTGGGTTTGGATATCAACAGGCTCTATTGTACCATCCAACCACAGAAGCGGGCTCACCTGCTTGGACAGGAGCTCTTTGCAGCGTTGGTACAGAGTAATGAACTTCCTGGCTAATGCCCGGGCATCAATGAATCCCTCAGCCACCAACATAATTTCACAGATCAGCTCAAAGTCTGGCACAACCATTGCGCACGGCCTAAAAAGATAGGGAAGACAAGACTGCAGAACAAGTATTTCTTGACTACAGGTCTTAAGGGCAGTGGATTTGCCACTTTATCTTTCAGGTCTTCTCCAGTGAGCCAGGTCACACATGGCCTTTCCCATCACAAGGGACAGAGTTCCTTTGCCCTGCCTGTGCCTTCCCAGACCCAGAGTTGTTGCACAAGGCCAAAAAAACTATCTGCAAATCCCCAGTGCAAGTGAATTCCCCAAGGAAATAACATCAAGCCTGGATGTTCCAAAAAGACAATTTCTGCCAGTCTTATAATACAGGTCACAAACCTTGACCTGGACTCACCTGAAGAGAGCTTTTAAATTCTCAGGTAGCTCAGTTCTCCCTGCATAACCAGGGTTCATGGTGATGAAAATGCCTACTGAGGAAACTAAGTTAACGTCTTCTCCAAGAAAATTGAAGGATTTCTTCTTCTCCCGTATTGCATCCTGCACACTCTTCACCTAGGAATCAAGACAGTGTTATAGCATTGGTGTTCAGTTACGAAAAACACAGCAGACAACAGTGCTTCCTTCCTTACACTTGGCCTCATGATGACGGGGGCTTATCACTGTTTTGTTTTGGTTTTTTACTGACCATATAAACCTTTATACACTTTTTGGAGTAAATCTGTGTGGCAATATCAATCCCCCATCACAATCAAAATCTGACAAAGCGGAAAAGAGAGCTGAAGAGACTGGGCAGTCAAACTACAAAGGAACTGCAAGAATTTGCACCATTGCTCCAAAAGACAATACTGGATGTCGGTGAGGAAGAGCAGCTCAGGAGAAGGAAACGCCTCCAAAGCTGCCTACATCTCACCTTGGCTTTTGACATCACCTGTGGGACACTTCTCAGCACATCTCACAGCAAAAACACCATGAAAGGCGAAATCATCTCTTTCAACTTCCCAATCTAGCAGGAGGCCAGATGCCCGAGATGAGATGCAGGGCTGTCCAGGCATCCACAACACAGCCAACACGCAAATGCAGTCCCAAGAGTCTGACACAATACAGGCCCCCGGTTCTCTCCACCCATCTCCACCCCTCCCCACACACCACTGCTCTTCATGACAGCCAAAAACCCTCCTGCACCTGCTCTTTTCCTTGCCTAGGCCCAGAAGAGAAGCAGCATTTCCCAATAAACTTGGCCTCAGCTCAATTGTAAACTGATCACTTGGCATTCCTTTTAAAGATTTTGGGACATCAGATGCTTAATTTAAAACCAAAACCACAAGGCAGAAGCTGTAAGACCTCCCCTAACACCTTCACTCACTAATATTGTATTGCCTTTTATATTTGCCTGATTACAGCTTTATTGTTCTTATTTTTTACCTTCCACAGAGAGGAAGTTTATTAAAGCTAGATCACCTTCTTGCAAACAGCACTTCAGTGAGGGAGAAATCTCTCTATATTCACTACTCTAACCTTACTGCTGTTTGCCATCTTAAAGTTAAGCAATTAATCAAATTTTTCTCTGTAAGGAACCTCATCAACATTAGCTGCATGACTAAGACAGCCAATTAAATATTGCCATGGTTACACTCCTAATAGCAGCCAGGAGACATGATGATGGAATGACAGACGTGCTGCTTTCTTCAGATGCCATGCTCCAGCCAGGAGTGAGGGAATCATTAGCAGTTTGAGTCATACCTGGGCTTCTTTTGTTTAGCTTCCCTTTTTATTTTAAGATCCTTGAAGACTTTTTTCAATGACAATTTAAACTAGAACCTGATGGAAGAGAAATTGAGAGGGAACAATACATAAACTCCTGTAGCCACCTGGGGCTTCTCTGGGACACCACATAAGGTACCATGAGTGAAAAGAGATGAGAAGAGTGAGTAGTTCATGGAGGGGTTCAGAATAACTTCTTTGACCGAAACATTTACAAAAGGGCAGAAACTTCTGGGCTCTAGATCTTTCTTTCTGCAACACCAAGCCCAAAAGGGGTTCTAGGAAGAATTCAGCACCTCAGTCAGACACTGGGATCCTAAAACCTTCACTCAGCTGACACTTGGGTCCAAAAGAACTTGAATACTTTGGCATCTCAATTTTCAGCACTGAAGTCACCCTAGGCTCAAAACTAGGTTCTGCCCTTGTCCAAGCTGTCTCAGTCTGGACAGTGCAGTTCAGCACCCACTCTCTGCTCAAATGCCCCTGGTAGCTGGATTTACCTGGCATTTTCAGAGGATACCAATGAGATTTAGGATCTGGACAACATCCAGACACAGATCTCCCTCAAAGCAAGGGCCAGAAGTGGTAGCAGGGCCTGCTCTCATCCTGCTGCTCTGTGGTTATACCTGGGCCGCCCCAGATTTCAGCCCCTGCCAGATGGGATTCACACCCTCAGCACTACCCTGGGTGCCCCCTCACCACCCACTGGGCAGGCATGAGCAGGGTACGGCATGTGGCTCCTCCTGCAGTCCTTTCCCCTGTGTAAAATATTTCCAGATTTCCTCGTGGGCCAGTAAGAGGAAGGGAAGGAGGCGGCAAAGTGCCAGATTATATATAAGCACAAGAGAACAGAACTATCTAGCGTGATGGGGAGGGCAGTCTCCTTTCCAGCCCTCCTCCAAGGACTGCTGCTGTGCTTCACACAGGACTCGCCAATAAAATGCACTGAACAGTTAAACTACAGAGGAGATGAGAAATCATTCTACAGAGAAAACACCTATGCATAGCCGGCCACAGCTCAAATAGCTCTCTCCTAGCTTTAATCTCATGCTGTCAGGGTATCCTAGGCAAGAATGTAAGCAAGGGCTGCAGATCTGCTGCAGGTTCCAGTTACCAAGTGTCACCCAGCTGACACCGGCTTCAAGGAGCACTGCGGTGCACCCACAGGGCTGCACACATTCCTCCTAGGAATTATGCCACTCAGCCAGGAATACCCTCCAAAGCCATTTTACAGAGCTCTCATTACAAACTCTGGAATATACTGGACTGTACAGATACAGTCATAACAAAAGAGAAGGAAGGAAAGAAGACTGCACAGTCTTGGTGACAGGTAAGCATTAAAAGAATTAATCTTGAATGTATTCCTATTTGTTGAATATGACGCACAACCTATGCCTGACTGGGAGCAATAAGTAACCCCCAAAAATCCAGCAGGCCATGGATCTGCCCCAAACATCACCCTTCCCCTCCATGAAAATTGTTCCCTGCACAACAGGCTGAGTAGCCACAAGTTAAGACAGCTCTCCTCCCTAAAATGATACACTGCTATTATCTCACAGCATATTAATGACATGAATGTCTTCCTCAGGAGGAATAGGTACAGAGCCATGGTGTATACTGATCTGGGAAAAGATGCTATAAAGAATTGCCTCTATACAAACGCTGTAACCGGGGGAAGAAAAGAAGTGACAAAAATGTTTGCAGCACATCACTGCTACATTTTGTCAGTGCTGTGATATTCATGTGATTAATCTTGGGATAAAATCCCTCACCTGCCTACACATGGAACTGAAACTGGCAACATGCACTTTCCATATTTACCCTCGCTCCAAAGGCTGCAGCATAGCTCTGCCTTGTTTGTATTTATTTATGAGCATTTCTCCACTTACCTGTACAGCAACCACAGAAAGGACCTCAACTGAGATCCTGTTAAATTCATCAAAACAGCCCCAGGCTCCCGTCTGAGAAAGGCCTTTGTAAATATTCCCACAAGACTGGAAAAAAAAAAAATTACAGGAGTGAAATCACAAATGGAATCAACTTCAGCAAAAAATGGATTTTATTTCCCAGCCTGTTTATTTATAGCAATTTACAGTCTATTGTGGGTATTTAGAAAAGTGCATGGAAACAGCAGGCACAACTCAATGATAATACTTACAGCTCTGCAGAGTTTGCCACTTGATTTGCTAATTGCACTTTCTCGATATATCAGTGCACTAGTTTCATTTAAAGGTCACTTGTGCTGAATTACTGATGGCCCCACTTCTTGGGAGAGTCCATAAGCCAAATAAAATATGATCTGAGGCTACCAAAATCACTGTACCGTGCCAGATGGGCAGAGAGCAAGTATCAGCCTAACAATTCAGCATTCTGCAGTGGCTGAAGGTTCAGCATATTTTTGCCTTATTCTGGGAGAGGATCCTGAGAAAACCAGGACAGATCCCTTCCCATGCCAGGGCCTGTCAGCCTGTGAGCGTGCCAAGAAGAAATGACCAGAGTCAAAGTTTCAGCACAGTCTCAACTGAACAGGCCAAAATTTTTTAAGCATCTCACATGGAATCTAACTCCAGGAAGGAAGGGAAAGGCATAATGAGGCAGAAAGCACAGTTCAGGTCTCTGCCTCCTGAAGAACCTTGTGCAAGTCTTAGAGAAGAAAAGGGAGGAGTAGAAAAATGTGTTCAGCAGAAAGGAAAGTAGCAGGAATTTGAGGAGAGGTGATGGATCAAAGCAATCTCAGCTGGATTACTCTCATCCTTCAGGTTTCATCAGGCCCCGAGCATCCCCAGCACCACACAACTGCACTGCGGCCAAGGTGGGAGCAGTACCTTGTAGTCCATCTGCTCCGAGCAGTTAAACACATACACCATGATGCCCAGGGCTCGACCCAAATCTTTCGTAGTCTCTGTCTTGCCAGTGCCTGCAGGGCCTGCAGGTGCTCCGCTCATGGTCAGGTGCAGCGACTGGGTCAGGGTGATGTAACATCTTTCACGGTGAAGGATGAAGGAAAAAAGGAAAGAGACTGAGACTTGGTCCAACAGGTCACTGTTGGGCTGCAGAGAAATGGCATTAGAGCAATACACTCAGGAGAGCCTTTCTTCTGAAAATATGTACATGAGCAGGGTATGTCTAAGCTGAAAGTCCTCTTTGGCATTAATTACCCCTTAGTCTAGTCTACCCTTGATTGGTTTAGAGTGGACTTGGTAGTGTAGGTTAATGGTTGGACTGGATGATCTTAAAGGTCTTTTCCAACCTAAACGATTCTATGATTCTATGATTCTGCCCAGCTGTGTTTTCTCCAAGAGATACTCATCTTCCACTGGGGTCTGCCCAACCTCTCAACATAGGGGCTGTGCTTTCTTTAGATCCTCATATCACTCATTGATATTGGGCATGTCCCAGATAGTGTGAGAAAAGGTCAGCTTTTCTGAAAGACTTTCCTCTTGTTTCCCAGTGCTCTTCAACCCAAATGATCCCATTCCCCATCACTGACAGAAATCTGCTCAGATGGCCTATGAATGAAGACACTCAATGCTGCAGCAAGCCCCAAAGCTTCTCCATCATGCTGCTGATGGAAACCAGGGAGGTTCCAACATGTGGGTGTCTATACTTCCTGTATAAGCCACAGAGCTGTAGTCAATACGGCCAACAAAACCTGCCAATCCATAGGGGCTTGGCTCAGCTGACTAACAGGGGTGACTAGAGCCACCTGAGATGTTCCTGGCTACTGCAATGTCACATAGGGTGGAAAGATATGACAAGGGGTCTGTCCACAGGAGACTTACACACTTCTGGATTGGCATCTGGAAGCCAGGTGGGACATCGCAGAGCATCTCAGCTCACCCTAGGTGTCCCCATTGAGACAACAGAACCAAGTGGTAGATGTCTACTTCAAGATGGGATGAAAGCTTTCTAGAGTCACCATGTCTATGGGGTGTGGACATCTTGTGCACAGGCAGACACCCACAAGTGAGTGTCTTAATCTGTGAGCTGAATCCCACCCCAGGATCTGGGGCACAGATACCCCAGAGGGTACCACTGTCAAATCACAAACCAGGTGAGGGTTAGAGCTCTGCCACTGGATTGCTGGGACATGGAGAAAGAACGAAAGAGATGCAGGTGTCCAAACTAAATCCATCTTTGGTTGGCAGCTCTTCCTCTAACTGCGTGGCAAAGCCCAGCTATAATGGTGTTTCCCGGGGACTTACCTGTCAGTCAGTGGAGTGATCACAAGCCGAGGGGTATTGCCAAGGTATTCGTAGGAGTACAGGAACTGGGCGTCACAGATGTTGGCAAAGCAGTGCCGTTCCTCATCCGACCATCTGTGCCGGAGCTGTGACAGCCAAATGAATGCCTGGGCATTGTCTACCTGCAATGCACCCACAAGCACCATCACGGGAAGGCCAGGGATGCCAGGCACACACAGCTCAGGTGCCAAAATGGCAACCGCAATGAAGTTTTCATCAGGGATGAACTAGTCCTCACTGTGAAGGCAGGTATGGTGAGAAAGATCACCTCCCTGCAATGTGGTGAGAAATGTCACCTCCCCATTTCCCATCAGTAGAGGGTGGGAACCAAATTAGTAACCATGTTGGTGGGAGAGGAAAAAGTGAATACCCAAGAGAAAGAGCAGCACAAAAAGACTCCTGAAGAGGAGATTTAAGAAGCAGCAAGCTGTGAAGAGGCTCTTACAATGCAGAGTGAAAGAAGGAGCACAGGCTGTTTAGACAGGGAAGGGGCCACAGACAGCACCAGGGAAACAGGCTGAGGACAGGGGGACAAGGACAGCCATGGCCAGCGCCCTCTGCACAACCAGCAGGCAGGCCCAGCAGATGGACCACTTCACCATAAACTGGGCCAAGACATCACCAAGCCCAGCTGAGCCTTGAAGCCAGAAACCCTGCGAGCAGCCTGACTGCCTCCAAGAGGACACAGATGAGGGTAAAGCCACAACCCAGCACACCCAGGGCACCTTCCCACCCACCTGCATGGCTGGATGCTTCACACAGTTGTCAAGGACAGGGGAGTGGTGTGGGAGAGGTGTGCAGGACAAGGGAGTCCCAGAGGAGTCCCTGTGGCCCCACCCCAGACCAAGGAGGCTACAAAAAGAAAAGCCCAAATGCTTTTTCTTATTTTCTAAAGACATAACTGAGACTGCATCCAGCAGCCTGCCAACACAATGCCATCATCCACCAACACGTGCCTTGGCAATAGGACACAGGGCCACACTCTCATGCCTGGTGTGAATGTGGCAAGTACAACAAGCCCCTTGGTGTTGCATGGCCATGATACAGAACAGCACTGCAGGCTTGCAGTGGCTTTCTGCCTCCTTACTGCAAACACTGTAGAAGTAAATTTAGTTGTGTATCTCCCACTGAGACAGGCAGCGATCTGAATGGCCTGTGGTTGGTCTATCACTCCTATAACCCCCGCTTCAATGCCCACAGGACCATGCTCAGCTGCGAACACAAACCTTCTGTGCTATCATCTTTGCCACCACGTCCCGAGCGTGCACATCGATGGTGCATATGGTCATGATTTTCTGCCTGTCACCCTTGGAGAGATGCCCAATCAGCATGGCAACGAGGGTGTTCAGCTGGGTCACTTGCTTCTTGTGATATTCCTTCATCGCATTCTCGTAGCCTTCCTCCACCCTGGCAAAGGCAATCTCAACCTCGGTTGTCCACCAGATCTGGATGCAGGAAAGAGCCACCTAGGGAAATGGGCTGGCTCAGTATCCAGGAAAACATCAGAGCTTACTTACGTTCAAGAGTGTCTGATCCACTGATCAAGGATGAAGTATCCAAGACACAAATTTTTCATATAGTAGTCACAAGCAGACAGGACAACAGGGATCTGCTCCATGACATTCATTTAAAACATCATATCAGCGGCAGACACCTTTAGCAGCTACTTAGTAGTAAACCAGCACCCTTCACATGCCTGACACAGCAGAGGAGGAAGAGCTGGAGACCACGAGGCTGTCAGGTGCACCCGAGGGACTCTTCTCACCGCTTCGTTTTCCTGCTGCACCTCTCGCTCCTCTGGGTGTACAGACTTCCCATGATGCACAGGGTGCAGCAGGCACTGCCCAAGCTCCTGAACTCTGTAACCCAGCCAAGAGTGTATCCTTCCTGAAGCCCCAGTCAGACCATGGACCTTAGCCTGGAAACTCCATCAGGAGATTGCCAGGATAAAGGACGACTCATCCTTCCTCCCTCCTGGACAGCACAGTGGAGGCCAGAAACATCCCCATCCACAGCTAGCGGTCATTACTGAAAGAAGGGAAGGGCAGGACTGAAGGGGAAGCCAAGCGCCAACTTTCCCACATGACAGCATGAGTGGAGATGAGGAACAGTGGCAGATACCTGGGCAGGGTAGTCAAAGAGCCACTGTTCCCTCAGCTTCTCCTCGTAAGCCATGACGGCTTCCGTCATCTCGTCTCTCACGGTAGCCCTCATGCTGTCTAATACATGATTCAGCCATACCTCAACCTGGAGAAGAGATTAAATCACAGTAACACATTTGCTATTCTTAAGCTCCTTTCATAATTAGTGAAGATAGGGAATGTGACAATCATTGAACTCTTGAGTTAAACAAGCCTCACAGCCTCCTTCAGACTGGGTGGATTTAGCCAATTCTGGTACTGCAGGATTAGCATCTACTTCCAAACACCAAGAATACAAGCCAGTTTTTTCTTGAACTCCAGCTACAGGAGAAACCAAAATGAACTCCACCGATGAGTACTTTAGTTCGGCACGTTCCACCTCCAGGCCACGACAGAATCACTCATGGGACTTGGGCACAGTGGGCCAGCAGCGGGAGAAAGCTGCTGCGAAATTTGGGAACACAATGTGTGCTGAATTTAGTATTTCACAGGCAAAGTCTTCACTGAAAAGATAGTTTAAATGCATCAAGCTCCATCACTGGGGAGGTCAGTAGCTGGTATTATGTACTTTAGCCTCCTATAATAGTCCATGGAGAAAGGTGCAACTACAGGGACAGGTAAGCTGAGCAGTAGTTTGATTCTTAAATTTCGTACTTTAACTCATCCTATAAAAGAAGGAAGATTTGGAAAACAGGAAAAAAGTCATCTCTTTCAAAAGATACCCATGCAGATGTACTATGGAATAGCTTAGTCTATTTTCAGTCTACATCCCCTCCCTTACTGAGGATATTTGCAACAAGCTGTAAGACTAACTTTCAAAACATCTTAGAAACATTCATATAAAATCCCTAGTTAGAAAAAGGCCACAGCCCTTTCTCTCATTGTGGACTGCAACACCTATGCCCCACCTTAGTGAGGACCTATCCAGAGTGGGACCAAGAGCTGTGGTGTAAGGAGGAATTAAATTACACACTACCTCTTCCAGCCTTCCTCATGCATAAAAGAAGAGTAGTGAAGCTCTACAATGTCTTGGCAACAGATGCCCACACAAGGGGCAGGAGAGCAGACTCCACTGGACAGTTTTGTAGACAAGGTCTTCCTTCTCACCTGTCCGCTGCAGTCACAGGGTTCACTGAAGCTGACGTATTCCTCCTCTCTACTGTACATTCCCAGGCCAAACTTGGTTGTCTTTTGCTCAGAGTCCAGCTGGAATTTCATCTTGGCCAAGTTGTCAAAGAGTTTGGAAAGATGACGTTGCACCTGCAAAAGGAATTGTATAAATAAAGCGACTGAGACAGGACAAGTGGAATGGAGATCATACATGTCACAGACACAATCATGTTCACAAAGCATGATCTTAGACATCTTGGTAGCACCACATCTTCGCATACTGCCCACTCAAGCCTCTTGCTGTCTCTCCCAATACTTCCACCCATTTCTATATCATTTAGAAACCAGACATACCTTAATAAATCATATTTCCCCATTGGGAAATCTCCCATACAGGGCAAAAGCTCAGAAAACATTCAAACATTGCATGACCTCCTAGCC